TTTCTATTTGGATTTGCTTTGAATTTCAAAATAAATCATTCAAGCTATAGTTTTTTCATAATGAAATCTAATTCTACCATCTGCATTTTTACTAAATGTGAACCTTTTGCTATTCTCTTAAATGTAATGCTTACCAGCTTCTATGTCCTCATTATAATAAAGTTTATCAATAAATTCTTCAAGTTTTTCATAATACTGTAGTAAGTCATCTAAAGATGGTAAATCATAGCCTTTACTTTCAAAATCAATTGAAACTTCTACTTGTGATAGTTCAAATACAACTTTCTCGAGAATATACCATAACTAAATTTATAGGTCCGACTGTGGTACAAAATTGCTCTAATTCTTTACCACTAAATTGAAGATTTCTTGAATCTTTTGCTTATTCTGGCTGTCAATACCATCTTCTAAACCAAATTTGCACACTTATGACCTCACTCATTAACTATCTTATTTAAAACTGATTGTCCAATACATCTACCCCAGTATTTGTGAGATAATGCATAAACTATTTCGGATCTGCCTTTGTTTTAAAGTTTAGATAACTTTAAATGATATTAACTCCTTTCCAAAAGTTTTGAGTTGCCCTTTCGAAAAGTCAATATCTCAAAGCAATTAAAGCTACTCAAAACAAACAAGAAATTATAACTGTTAATGAATGATCTTTTTTTAAAAAATTTTATAGATTATACAAAGGATTACAATCAATTGGTTCAAGAATAAAAAAATACCCGAATGTAGAATTAATTCGTAAGTTTAGTAAGCATAATTTTGGTAGAATTAATTTGTAAATCTGGTAAACATAATTTTGGTAAAATTTATCTAAGGTAATTCTAAAAATATCTAATTTTGTAATGATTTAATGGTTAAATAAAATTTGAGCCAATCATTTATGTGATATGGCATGATTATTAAGAATAAAAGTGATTTTTTGATCAGAGATTGTAAGCCTGATAATACTTATTATTATGAATTTTACTCATAAATTTGTACCTGATTGTAACCTGATGTTTTTATAAAATTTTGTGCATATGTAACTAGTTGTAACCTAATGACTTATATGTAATTGATTACTTGAAATTTTTTGTACGTATGTATCTGATTGTAATCTAATTACTTATAAATTTTTTGTGTATGTACCTGATTATAAACTAATCACCTAAATTTAATAAATTTATATAATTGGTTTCATATCCTGCCCGTATCGATACAGTGAGAATCACTTCTAACCCAATAAATACACATAAGAAATTGTAAAAAAAAAATGTAAATAACACAAAAATTTACTATGCTAACTAACTTCTGACCTCTAAATAAAAGTTTTCAGAATGAAATTTTATTCATAGAACAAATTTTTTACTGTTAGATACAGTATGTATGGAATTTTTGAGATACTATGACCCATATTTTTTGGCCAGTAACTCAGGATTTTCTTGACATAAAGGATACTTGCAAAACATTACTATTATTACATAAAATAAGTTTAGTCATCTTGAACTGAACCAGAAGAGGTCTGCAAACCGAGAATGCAGCTACCATCACTAAATATTTTTTTTTAACTCATAATAATAACAATGTCAAAATAGGCCCAAGCTGATGGTTAGATGATAATTTAATGGTTTGATGCAAATTTTTCTTGCAGAAATAAGTAAAACAATAGTTTTGCCTTCCGGAAGAACAAATTATAGCTTTTGCTTTAATAATTAAGACACCTCTTTGTATTTTAAGGAATTAATATGCCTGATTTATATAAAGAAATAATATTTGAAGACACTATCTTACATATGGTGACGGGCTTGTTCAGCTATAATTTCCTGCGTAGATTTTTTGGCAACTAAAAAAAAAGATTTTTTTTGCCTTGATTACTGAATTCTCATCATATTCATCTAATTTCTATTACTGATTTATCTTGCCAATATTGCAAATAAAAGGCCATTACTTTTTTTATTGTGTTTGTATATTCTTATATAAGCTTAATAGCTATATGCAAAATATTTTGATTTACCAACATGGCTTAGTCTTTCCAAAATCTTAGAGAATTTGATCTTTGCTGTGTTTAACTTTCTTCAAGGGTTTTAGCTTTAGTGAGAGTTTTGCCATTTATCAAAAATAGTTTCACCTAACAACACTACTCTCACCCTGTAGTATATGAAGAATTATACCTGGATTTGGTAAGTCTTTAAATAGTATATAACTATTTGAAATCTCCCAGAGAATAACACCTAAGCTATAGATGTCGGATTTTTTAGTAAATGTAAATTTGTCTAAAAGACATTTTAAAGCCTGTGGGTCTGTGAATGCAGAAATTCCATAAACATCACGCTTAATCGAGGCTGAACATGAATTTGTGAATATAGAATGATTAAAATCAGTAACCATCATTTTTCTTATGTGAACAAAAAAAAAAATTATGAATTAATCAAAAAAAATTAGCATTTAACTGTGTATATAAGAATTTTAAGAAATTCGAGTATAACAATTTTAGTTGCACCGGTCTATATGAAAATCATGTAATTTTCATATAGACTGATACAAATAACTTGTGAAAAAAAGCACGGGTTGTTACATAGTACCCATGGGATAATAAGATAAAATCTTGTTGCATATATGTTGAGATAAAACTATATTGTGAATTTGATATTTAAAGATAGGTATGATAATATTGTTAATAATATAGCTAGTTTGTTTGTTAGTTGCTATATATCAAAATTCTAAAATTTTAAAAATATACTTAGAGCTTGTATTTGTATTTGTATTGTAGAGTTCATAAAGTTAAATATAGATGTGTGCTTTGTATTAGATATAAGATTAGATTTGTGTGAGTTAACTTTTATATTTGTCATTTTGTGAATATTGATGC